TTTGAACCGGTATTCCTGCATTTTGTGACTGTGTAACACCCTCTCTTGTATATAAGCAAGTGAAGGACACTGTTCGGGGAACTAGTTCTACCATATGCTCTGTATGTGATTACTACTTCCATTCTTGCAAGGATAATAAATACATGTATCCTGATATTGAAGCTCAAGCCGGTGACGAGTGATGTTTTTCTAACAATATTTATCGCACCTTCATCGTAGTTGACGTAGACTCCGATGCGGTTGGGGATGGTGCAGTCCAGCGTGCGGGCCTTGTTGTTGTGCTTGGCGGTGAGGCTCTGCTGCAGCCAGTTGTTCAGGTGGATGCACCAGGACGCGCTGCTCTTCCCCAGCTGGTCGAAGCGTCCGAGGCTCCGCAGGGCCACGCCCACAGCGAAGGCTTTGCTCTCCTTGTCAAACCGCACCTCCCAGTAGTGCTGGCCGGCGTCGATGGAGGTGTCAGCTGTCATGAGGAATAAGCCCAGATAATTCTTAGACAAGCAGTATAAACACAGTCTGATGGGTTGACTGAGAGGTGTGGTTACATGTTGTGTTAATAGTTAATCTACTTTGGGAAGAGAACATTACACTAAAATGTTTGCAGTTTCACTCGAGAACCATCAAATGTAAATCATGAAATGTGTTTATAATTAACAACATTTCCAAAAAAAAATCACTTCGCTCTCATTTTACATGTCTTCAATGAATGTAAAATTGTTCAACTGTTTTTTAGGTTTTCCAGGAAATGTGGGAACCCTGACAAGGATATAGAGTTTGTAATTGTAAGTGGGCAGAGAGTGGTTTAAATGTGGATAAACTATATGAATGATAATAACTGTTTCTCCTACTCAGAAGCATTACATTCATTACAGAAGTCAAGCAGGCTGGTCAACTAGCTTGCCTTGGTCACTGGGTAATGTAACAGGCAAGCTATCTGACAAACTCAGCAGATCTAGATGCATTTTCTAGTCTTTGCCAATGTGCAGGTCTTCACTAATTAGTAAAAAAACAAATCTTATGTTGGTTGGTTTCACCAGCTGAGGTCAAGCAGTAATTAATTTATGCTGCGGCTTGGTCTCAAATATCTGTAGTGCTAAAACTCCAGTGTGATGTGTGTTTTAGCCACTTTTGTCAACAGTGTCCATTCTCACCCAGCACTGTGTAGGACTCTGCTGTGAATCTGTCTCTGCCGGGCCGGGCTGTCGGCGTCCTCTTAGGAGAATTCAAGGCCGACCTGAGAACAAAGACAACATACACTCAAGGATCCATATTTCTCTTAATAATACTTCATTACAGTTATTTTTTTAGGCTTGTTGATCCAGTAAAAACTAGGATTTAAAGGCTCGTGTTCTAGTGTTATTTTTTTGCCATTCTCTATTAGTCTTAGTTCAATGTCAAAAGTCCTTGTTAGTTTAATTGATGTTTTCTCTACCTCATCCAGTTTGAGTCATTTTCAGTTGGCTAATTGATCTTTGTCATAGAACAATATAATTATTTAACTTTTTGTTAAGTCTTCAGACAGGGCTCACTGTGCACTCGCTGTCGTCCTGATAAAGCACACAGGACCCTAAACTGGTGCATGGCAACAAAAAAAGTATACATATATAATTTTGTCTCTTTGAAACTAGAGGAAGCCACAAAATACACCAAACACAGCGAAGAAGACCCCCGAGCATTGTTGCCATGGTTGCCTGGTTGCCCTTCTGGTTATTCTCCGCGGTGGATTTAGCAACATGTAGTTCATGTAGTTCTCCATGTCCACTTGTTGCTGATGGTTGTGGTAGAGAAGCTGTAGATTTTGCACTAACATCTGTATCATGGTCAGTAGCGTNTTGCCATGGTTGCCCTTCTGCTTATTCTCCGCGGTGGATTTAGCAACATGCAATTCATGTAGTTCCTCTACCACAACCATCAGCAACAAGTGGACATGGAGAACTACATGAATTGCATGTTGCTAAATCCACCGCGGAGAATAAGCAGAAGGGCAACCATGGCAACAATGCTCTGGGGGTCTTCTTCGCTGTGTTTGGTGTATTTTGTGGCTTCCGCCACTTACAGGCCCGGCATATGTACTACAGCGCCTCCAGCGGGTCGAGCAGTCTCGTGTGGACGGACACGTTTCTTGAGCCGATTCCGTGTGGACAGAAGACTTTTTTGGTATCGACATCGGTTCGTTTTCATTTTCGTCTCCGTGTGGACGGGGCCTAAGATTAGATCAAATTCTTTACCTAAACCTCTAGTTTCAAAGAGACAAAATTATATATGTATACTTTTTTTGTTGCCATGCACCAGTTTAGGG